TATCCCTATCCCTATCCCTATCCCTATCCCTATCCCTATCCCTATCCCTATCCTTTTCTCATTCCATTATGTTCCCTACAGCGGTGTCAAAGGAAAGAAAAGCAGCCAATGCAGATGTCCCCCCGAGGTTCAAAGACAGACTGCCATGTGGTAAGTCCCACTGTCTCCATCAGAACTGTGTTTTACATGAATAGGTAACAGAAATATAGTACATTCAGGCAAGAAAGGGTAGGAAAAGTAAAAACAAAATGGTGAAGTGAGGCTTTGAAAAAGAAGAGAAGGCAGGAACTGTTTCTGTTATCATTTTTGAGCTTGCATGTGAGACAGCTTCACCTTCGTTATTCAAAAGACATCTCTGGATAGTTCAGAAGTTTCTACAAACCTAGTTCTTCCCTGACTGTGGAAGCTGTTTAAAGCTTCTTTCAGGATGTTTGTTTCTCTGAACTGCATCCAGATTAAAAGCAATCCATCTGAAGGAAGAGGAAAACCAAGCACAAGTTAAATCTCTATCTTATTCAGGTGCCTTCAGCTCCTGTAATCCCTGTACTTCAACCTGCCATTCACTGTGTTTTCAAATGATAACTTCCTAAGAGATTTAATGAGGATTTACCCTACAGCCAACATTCCCCTTTTACAGAAATGACAAGTTTCTGGTTCTCTCTCTTCAGAGTAAACAGCGGTCAAAACAATCATAGCTGATGCTAGGCACGTTTAACTCCAGCAAGGACTCTTCCCTAATATTCATTAACTGTCTGCTCTGATAGCTGCTCTAAATAGCCAGAAGAAAAGCCACCTCATGTTTTAAGTTTGGCAGCCAGGCAGCTTTGTCTCAACCCATGGGCTGTGGATGCAGCTGCCTCCTGGCATTGCTCACCTGCAGTTGTACATCTTTCTGTGACATCTCTTCTGCAGAGGCATTTATACCCCATGCATTGGCTGAAAAACAGTCAGGGTGGAACTGGCAATAACATTTAAGAGGTTTTTTCATTATCAAATTGCTTGGTAGGAATAAAAGTACTCACACCCTTCCAAAAATTCCTGATCCTTGCAAAATATTCTGCTTGCGTTAATTGAGCAGATCATGTATATCTGAATGTGATGCTCAGTTCTTTGAAATATCCAGGACAAAGCCAATGTTAGCACAGTTCCATTCGGTGCTCTCTTCCCAGAAACACAAACAAATACTGTTTAGATATTTACAACTTCATTCACTCGGTGGATCCAGGGGACTGTAAACAAAAAATATTAGAGCACAGCACAGTTGCCATGATGGCGCTTCATCAGTCCTCATATCAATTAATTTGTGTTTATGCAGAGCAGCAAGCTTGAAAAACTTGAGCTGCAATATACTCAAAAGTACAGAGATTTTTTCCTAATTAGCCATGACATACCCAGCAGTGTCTGTCTGCTGGCATGCATGAAGCTGCCTAGCAACAATGCAAAAAAATCCTATGATGAGCCTCAGTGGATCACAAAGACTCTGTTAAAAATGGTAATCTCTTGTCATAGAAAAGTAGAGATGGTTTCAATTAAGAACAGCAATTCTCAACTTGTTATTTATATGCAGTGAACTAAAATAACTTTCAAAAAGTATAAATACAATGTGAAAAGGCCATGCTTAATTTCTTAAAGCTTTAATTTGCAGTACGTAATTTGCCATTCACATCTGTAAGCCTTTTGTTTCACTTAATGGCAAAAACATTCCAGCTAGGTCAGACCTACACTTGAGTTTATACAATGTGGAAATCTCAGCAAACAGGGCTGGAATGGACTCAATATGTCTGTTAGTCCATCCCGAAGAACCAAGGCAGTAGAATTTGCATACAAACCATTCCTGACTGACAGTGCTTTACTTACCAGCCTCCCCAGACCTCCATAAGCAAATTCTGGAGCATCTCCCCTGGCACTCCACTCAGTAGTGTGACTCTCCTGGCAGCTGGAAACCAATGGGGAATCTCTGACCTAAACCTGCCTTGTTCCAATCCTTGCTGCATCTGAACCGACATTATGATCAGCACACTATACTGCTGTGTTTGGAAATGCTTATCACATGTTCCTTTAGTCTTGCTTTGAGTAAATAACCATAACTTTTCTCAGGCTTACCTTACAGGTGTTGTATTTTTTTACCTGTATTCCTTCCTGCCTCCTCCAGCTCTTTATGATTTGTACTGGCTTTCACACTCCACAAATGCACTCTCCCAGTGCAAGGCAGCATTGACAGCGCTGGGGCTGCACCCACCACTTTTCCAGGAAGGGTTGATCTCATAGGACCCAATGACCCAGCTCTGCAGGGCTCTGCTGAAGACAGCAGGAGCATGGTGAGGGGCAAAGCAGCAGCTTCGGCTTCAATTGCCTCAAATGCAGGAGATGTCCATGAGCTCGGCTGGAATGCAATCCAGGAAGAGGGTGAGGAGTCACACACGTGACACTTAGAATGGGGCAAAGCTCCACAGCATGCCCCATGTTAATCGGAGCATCTGTCTTCCAAACTTGTTTTTCTCTTCTTTCTCCGAAAGGACTAAATCATAAAAGAATCACAACTAAATGCCTTTAGGAATTGGATCCTAGAAGAAAAAAGTCTCTGGCCCATTCTCAGAAGTAAACAATTGCTTTTTTTCCTGACGAAACAATGTAAAGATTCAGATTCATACAGAGCATGAGCATAAACATCTATCCTAACTTGGCAGAGCTGCAAGCAATGAGGAAAAGAGTCCAAGAGAAGAACAAATAACATAACCTCAGTACCTGGGGTCAGAACACAGGGAAAATACTCCCTCCACTACACAAGCTAAGAAATTCAGTCTGCTCAAATAAGCACTTTCAAATTTATGATGAAATGCCAAAGGGGCAACTTTAATGCTGTTGGCTTGATTTTTTGCATTTTATTGTTATTTTCAACAATTACCTGACAATGGCTAATTCAATTCTTTGAAGACAGTATCATTATGTAAATTCCCATTTTTTGCATAATTATAAATGGAATTTAGAGTAAAGTTAGGTAAATTGGGTTCCTTCTAGCTCCTAAGCAACGTGCGTCACTATTCTGCGGCTACAAAGTCTTGTTACATGAGAAATCAGCTTTCTTATACGTGTCTTAATTAATCAGGATCCTTGCACAACCATAGTTGTAAGGTGTACAGGAATATGTATATTTTTATTTGTTTCAGGTAGTTTGTTTTCATACATTAAAAATTCCCTAGAAATTTTATTTTTCATCAGATTTCCACTTTGATTATTAGTGTCACTGATTTCTTACCTTGCTGTTTTTGTTCCTCTGTTCTTTTTGCTGAGGGTGGAGTTTTGACTGTAATGCACTGTGGAAGCAGCAAGAAAATACAATCATTCTCGAAGGTTTAAGCATTATCGTCTACAATTAACCTGTCCAGCTGAGACCTCTAGATTATAATAAATAAGCAAAACTTTCCTACCTGCTCCTCTCATGCCTCCTTCTTCAGCAAAAGGCCTTGGTATGTTAACTTTTGTTCTACTCCTGTCGGTTTCTTGGTATTCACTGAACAGGATATTTTGGTTTTTTGAGACTGTTCAAGCAACGGGTTGCAAGGCACAGTACTCATGTCTGCATATTTATTACAGCAAGGGGAAGCTGTACACTCAGGGGCATTCTTTTTGTTGCTGGCAACATAATAACATTTGCTTAATTGTGTTTTATTAATGTTAATATGCCCAGAGGCTCAGGCTCTGCCCACACATTTTGGTAAATTGAATTAGAGGAAAAATGAATCAGAGTTAAAAGACAGCTGATTAATTTTATCCACTTGCTTAAGGGGTTTTAAGCCAAATGGTCTCCACATCTATTTTTCTTTAGAGAACAGACCTCATAGCCACGGGGCTGGGAGAAACTTGTCAGTAAGCCATTTTCATTGCCGTGTGTCAAGGAGAGCTATTTAAAGCACTGAAAGCGATGGCCAGCAGGGAGAAGCACTCGCCCCCTGCTCTGTGCAAATGGCGAGGTCAGGCAGGGCTGGTCGCTCCCTCCTGCTGTCCACATCATATTGTTTTCATGCAGCATTTTTCAATGAAGCTCTCAGAACACCCCCTGCAGCCTGCCACTCCAGACAGACGAGGACACAGGCGCAACGCAAACCTGCTAAAAAGGGCCATTTCAATTCACACAAAATCCGCCCTATTAGCAGGTCTGTCTCAATGCATGCAGTAATTTAAAAGCCATTATTGTGCCATTTAATAGGCTTTCAGCTAGTCACAGCAGAAATCAGTTCTTGTGGCAGATTTCTCATCAGGAAATAAACATACTTCATTAGGGAAGCCTCTGCTGGATGTGCATTGATACAAAGCCTGGGAGGGAGCATCAGTATAAGTGCAGAATTGCTCAGTACTGGGTTGTAGGAAATCAACTCTATTTCCCAGTTATTTAGAGTGTCTGGTCTGAAGAGAATCTATACAGAAACTGGGCAGGCCTTTCTGATAACTCTGTTTTGAATGATTTCTTCATGACTGCTTATTCAAAATGTTAATGAAAAACGCAAGTCAAACATCTCAAGAAAGAAGGATGTAAATCTGGAGGTTTGAGCCCCTCTGTATAAACAATGAGGTCTCCCCATAGCCTTCTCTTCTCTGAGCTGCTCATGTTTGACTCCCTCAGCCTTTCTTCTTAGGAGAGGTGCTCCAGCCCTCTGAGCACATTTGTGGCTCTCCCCCTGGACCTGCTCCTACAGCTCCACATCTTTCTCGTGCTGGGGAACCCCAAACTGGACACAGTGCTCCAGATGGGGCCTCACAAGTGCAGAGCAAAAGGGGCAACCCCTTCCCTCTCCCTGCTGCCATCCTCTGTCAATGCAGCCCAGGATGCTGTTGGCCTTTTGAGCTGCAAGCGCACACTGCTGCATCATCCATTAGAACAACCAAGTCCTTCTTCGCAGGGCTACTCTCAAGTTCTGTCTGTACTCATATCTAGGATTGTCCTAACACAGGTGCAACACCTTGCACCTGGTGTTGATGAATCTCATGGGGTTCAGGTCCCTTTGGATGACATTCTTTCCTTCTCTTGTATCATTTGCACCACTCAGCTTGGTGTCATCAGCAAACTTGCTCAGGGCGCACTCAATCCATTTTGCTCTCCCATGTGTGTGTGTGTGTGTCACATACACAACATCCTAGAGATTTTCACACAGCTGGGCTATTTACAGTATCTACCAACCCTCATATAAGATCTCTGGCTGCTGGTAGGGCATGGGCTTTCACACCATTCTTTTCCCCTGTGAAGCTCTGTAAGGTTTCTCTCCTACCTGGCCCCAGATTTACATCAGACTTCTGGGTGTCTAATAGCTTTGAGGTGACTGCTTCCACAGAATCTTTGTTTGAAACATGTTAAAAAAATTGACTGTGGATATGGGAAACTACCAAGCACTCTCCTCAAAGCCATGGGAAACAAGGCTAAGAATTCAAATATACCTTGAATGGTCAATGGAAAGAAGAAAAATTCAGGGAAAATTGTGTTGGAAAGATACCCCTAGGCTACATGTCTGCTAATAACCATATGGATCTTATCTGGCTCTCAAGTCTGATGACACAGAGCAGCTTTTACTGACTCATCAATGTATTTAAACTCACTCAAGCTCTAAAGCATGGGGATCACGGCCATAATGAAACAGAAAGGTTATTCACTAATTGGGAAAGGTCTTGGCACTCCTGCGCTGTGCCTGGGAGCTCTTTGGGTTGCTCTGTGGCATGGCTGGGCCAGAGACTGTGCTGGCAACTGAAACAGCAAGCATGTGTTCCCGTATCACTGGAGTTCATATTTGGAGACCTCAAATTCTATTGCAACTGGCAAATTCTGGTCTGATAAGCACACAGCCCTGATGGTATGGCAGAGGCCTCAGAATGGTGCTGCACGTCAGAGTCCAATGGTCTGTTTCATTTCTTACATTTGGTAAGGAAAAAAATGGATGAGTGGGATTTAAAATTTGCAAACCTCGGAATCTCTGCTTTGAGGGAGAATAAGTACGGAAAGTTTCAGACCAAGCGATTAGCTTGACAGGCTATTAAGACAACCTTTTTAGATGAACGCTGCCATGTCATGCTATGCCACACTGTGCTGCATAGTGATGCTTTTCCTGCATGCCGCAGGCAGAACAAACACCGGGACTGCTCCATACAAGATAGGATGGGTACATGGAAATGAGGGAATGCTGGCTGCTACTTTGAAATTAAAATGGGCCTTTTGAGATTTCTATATTCAGAAACAGTACAAAACCACAACTTTGAATATTTATGGGAATTAATTTGTAGAAATTCTATTACTGATATGCCGAAATATTAATTTCACTCTCACCCACAGCCCCATGTCCTACTCCCATCTCCAGGATACACCCAATGTATGGGGCTGGGGCTGCCATGGTGTCCTCACTGCACCCTGATACCATATTTTATTTTACTAAAGGAAAGACCAGATGTACCAAGAAACTTCAGCAATCTCCAGCCGTGTTTCAGCATAAGGAGTGATACCCATCAGACTTTTCACTCTTACTATAGAAGAAGCTGAAGGTATGTGATGTTATTCAAATTGCACTTTATTATGGGCCTCCCAACCTTTGTCTCCCAACTTTCACAGGTCTATCTCTATCATATGTTCACCTTGATGTTGCTAAATGAAGGTGATCTCAAAAAGCACAAGATGGAGGCAAAGTTATTTAACAAAACTGTTGTCTTGGATGCACTGATTTTGCCTCCAAATTCATTGTAAAGAAAACAAATTAAAATGCATGAATAGCAGGCTCTGAGTAAGGGGGAAATGCAGCTGCCACCCACATTTCCCTCCGTGCAGGATGGAATCCTTCACAGCCCACCACTGCTGAATGGAAAGCAATGCCATGAACATCCATGGAAGCACTGGAGGAAGCCAGGGCAGATGCTGTTTCCTGGTGCTTCTTCCAGGAGGCTCAAATGGATCCCAATATCAGCCCATTGCCCTGCTTGGGGGAGATGTAAATAGGAGGGGAGAAGAAGAGCTGTCCAGAGATCTCTTCCTCTTTAAATTTACTTTATGCTCATTGCCATGAAGGCGGTTGTTTGTTTTGCCCTATGATGTGCAATGCAGAATACAAACACACGAAGTTCAAAATCCTGTTTTCAGCATTGTAGCAGAGGCAGCCCAAGATCTCCTGCCCCGTGTTGGAGGTAGCCCTGGTCCTGCCATGCTGCCTGTGTAGCTGGTGGGGCCTGCAGCTGGTGGGCCAGGCTCGGTCAAGCTGCCAGGCCTTGGTCTGCTGGGGCATTCCAGCATGGTCCCCATGCCCTAACCCCAAAGGGGATGAGAGCATTTCCCAGGCCCTGCTGGAGATCCCAAGGATGCCTTCACAGGAGTGCCTGACATCTGAGCTAGCCCTGCCAGACGGAGAGGAAGAGCTGTCATTTAAAAATAGAAATAAAATTTCTACGAGGCCCAAGCACACATCTCCTGTTTGCTTGTTTAAATTAATTCCAGCTGAAAAGGCAGTTCCCCCAGCAGCTTTGAGTGACAGGAACTTCGTGCTGAGAAGCCCGTGTGAGCTTTGGCAGCGTTCAAAAAGATGCTTTAAAACTAACACAGAGCTGATGTCTCGTGGAGCAGCCTTAGGCGTTGTCTTTACAGAGGGAAAAATGTGTCACGGCTGAGCTACTGTGCGCACTTACAACACAGATGTTGCTCAAAGACAGAGCGTGGCATATGCACATGCACGGCGAACCTGAACTGACCGCCAAGCGCTGCCTTCCTCCCTGAGCTGCACCACAGCTCCAGAGGGACTCCCCGTGCCTTATGGATGTGCTGTACAGCAAAGGCTGCCACAGTCAGAACGGTCAGCTGAGCCCCTGCCTGCCCAAATTTCTGTTAGCTGAGATTCAGTCCTGACTGCGAGTTCTCCGTCTCATGAGACCACACTGTTGTGGTCAGACAGTTGTGTGCTGGGAAGCTCTGATCCGGAGATACCTTGCTTTCCCTGTACTTTCATTCAGCACCATTAGGTCATGAGAAACAGCACAAGATTGACCCTAAGAGGTGCATGCCTAGCAGCAACATCACTAGAAACATCTCTATCCTTAATAAAATGTTCAAGAACGAGTCCTGGAGGCCCACAAGAAGAAGGAATGCATGCAAAATTTTCTATTAGCTCCTGGAGGTGTATGTGTGATATATTGCAACCTTCACCTGCACACCATATTGATAATTCTCTGTGACAGGCAATCCCACCAACTCCCTGGGAAGAACGTTTCCTCTACTCCAGAAAGCCCCTCATCCACTTGGATGCCCTTTTCCAGCACTGTAACATTAATCAGCTACAAAGTACTCCATGTGAAAGTGGAAATTTGGGTCTTGGATTAGATTTTTTTTTCAGAGGTTGTCTGAAAACTGATTCCATTAAATGGACAGGAACCAACGGAAAAAAAAATATTTATTTTTATAACTGACTTTCTTCATAAGCTAGGTTCTGGCAAATTAAAAAAAAAAGAGAGAGAGAGAAAGAAAGAGAGAAAGAAAGAGAGAAGGCAGGCAGGCAAGGAAGGAAGGAAGGAAGGAAGGAAGG